AAACAAACAAAAAAAACAAAGATGAAACCCACTATTCCACAGAGACACCCTCCCCCTCAAAACGAAGAAATAAAGATGAAGCCACTGGATTTAGCAACTCACTTCCAACCAAGTATTGAAAAGGAAAACAGGTACTCTACAGTGAAAACCCAGCAGACATGACCTTACTTACTAATTAACAAAGTGATCAAGGTCAACATCACCAGCGATGTCATGTGAATTTCATGTTCCCCTGAAATAAGGCAAGAGAAGAAGACTGGACCTCCGAGGTGTCCCTTCCAAAAACCTATTAACTCCAGGGTAATCATGTTTTTGTTTGTTTTTGAGACAGAGTCTCACTCTGTCGCCCTGGGTACAGTGTTGTGCCATCACAGCTCACAGCAACCTCAAACTCTAAGGCTCAAGCGATCTTTTTGTCTCAGCCTCACAAGTAGCCACAACTACAAGTGCCCAGCACACACAATACCTGGCTAGTTTTTCTATTTTTAGTAGAGACTGCATCTCGCTGTTGCACAGGCTGGTCTAGAACTTCTGGGCTCAATTGATCCACTTGCCTTGGCCTCCCAGAGTGCTGGGATTACAGGCGTGAGCTCCTGTCTAATCCTAAAACATGCATCAGATACATTAAAATTAAGAGATGTTCTGCAAAACGCCTGCCTAGTACTCCCCAAACTATCGAGGTCTGAGAAACTGTCACAGACCAGGGAGACTGAAGAAGTGGGCCACTGTGTCACCTTGGACTGGATCCCAAGACCTAAAAGAGGCCATTAATGGGGTGGTGCCTGTGGCTCAAAAGGGTAGGGCACCAGCCCCATATGCTGGAGGTGGAGGGTTCAAACCCAGCCCCAGCCAAAAATGGCAAAAGAAAAAAAAAATAGAGGCCATTAATGTAAAAGCTGGTAAAAGGTAAAATCCAAATCAGGTCTGGAGAATGATCAATAGTAACATACTGGTGCTGATTTCTTAGTTTTGACAATGTCTGGAAGGACGTGTTAGCATTCTGGGATATGGGACTGGGTGAAGGATGTGGGAGAACCCTCTATACTACCTTTGCAACTTCTCTGCTAGTCTAGTGTTATTCCAAAATGAAAAGTTTATTTTTAAAAACATAGCCCAGGCCAGAGAGACCCACTTGCAGGCTGGGTCAGCTGACAGCCAGCAGAGCCAATGCCCCAGCAGAGCTGCCCACAGAAGCACCTAGGACAGGCACCTGCTCTGGCAACAACTCCAGGGCCAGCCTCTTGTCCTGGAGGTTGGATGCTGCCTGGGTTCCCTCCTTTCCAGAAGAAAGGAACATCCGGGGGAGGGAAAGCCAGCTAATGTACAAATTTTACTGAACTTTTCCCCGTGACACCACTGAAACACTTGGAGTCGACGAGAGTTGCACTTGTCTGCACTAAACCTTCATGAGAACATCAATATTTGATTTAGAGCAGCACTTAATGCAAAAAGTCACCAAGAATATCGACCAGCCAATTACTAGCTCTTTGGAGAAGAGAAAATTCCTTTGTTTTCTGGTAAAATGATGCTCCCACCTGAGACCAGGGCTGGAAGCAGTGATTCCCTTGAGATCTCTTTGCAGACATCCTGTTCTCTGCCAGATTTTACTTGATCTGAATAAAATATGTGCTCCCTAGATGGCCTCTGGGCACAGCTGTATGATAAAATTGTCCCAGGAAGCCCTCCCCAGAGCACTGAGACATAGAATGTCACTGAGGAAGAAGCACGTGGCCTGTCCCCTCCCTTACTGGTTCTTTTCAGGGTAACAAGAGGCTGAGGTAAGGACTTACTAACTCAGAGTCTAGAAAGGGAAGCACAGACAGGGAAGGTCTGGAGCCACTCACATGCTTATTTAGCTCCTCCACTGAGGCCTCAGCTTAATGATATGTCCTTGAATGTCAATCAAGGGACAGGGCGGGGAGCCCTGCCAGTAAGCTGGGGGACAGAGCCGACCTCAGCAGAAAAGGGCTCCTCTCTGCAGCCTGTGCGCATGTGAGGCTGCAGGCCACACAGAATGAATTTCCACAGACCTTGCGCTCTCTGAGGCCCCACATTCCCAGTGCAGGCTGCCCAGTACAAAGCAAGCATTCAGGGAATATCTGCCGAGCCCCAGGCGGGAGACACCAGGCCACCACAGGGACAGCAGTTAACCTGAGTTGTAGGTCCATGAGGCCTCATCGGGCCTTCCTGACTCAGCTCTGAATGCAGCCACCTGTCTAACTCCATGCTGGCCTTTGGTTTGGGTCATAGCCCCGAGCCACAGAGATTTTCTAAGGCCTGAGACACAGGAACTCTTCCTGTCCCTAACCCAAAGGAAGGAACTGCATCCTAGCTCCAAGGAGCCATGGGAAAATTAGCCAGACTTTCATTCATTGCCGGAAACTGTTTCCCAAACAGAAGCAGGTGGTGGGATGAGAGCAGACCCTCCAGGAGTGCATGGCGACTCTCCTGCCCTCAGAATGGGGCGCTGTCTGGACAAACTGGCAGGTGCAGAATGGACCACAGCACCTAAGAGCTGGCAAATGCCAGCTTCCTCCCTGGTCCCCTTCTGAGGTGACATGGACCCGTGACTGGGGTAGGGGAGGGCATCCAAGGGACCCACCCTCATATCTTCAGACTCTGGAGGACACACTTCTGGGAAGGCCAGGGCCACTGACCCTGAGTATTCACTGTGGGACATCTCCCCGCCCAGCACTGGGGGAAAGGAGCCTCTAGGTCTGAATAACACGGAGGCCATTTTCTTTCTTTCTTTCTTTTTTTTTTGCAGTTTTTGGGCGGGGCTGGGTTTGAACCCGCCACCTCCAGCAAATGGGATCAGTGCCCCACTCCTTTGAGCCACAGGCACCACCCATCACAGAAGCCATTTTCTTTCTTTTTTTTTTTTTGAGACAGAGCCTCAAGCTGTCCCCCTGGGTAGAGTGCCATGGCATTACAGCTCACAGCAACCTCCAACTCCTGGGCTCAAGCGAGTCTCCTGCCTCAGCCTCCCAAGTAGCTGGGACCACAGGCGCCCGCCACAACGCCTGGCCATTTTTTGGTTGCAGCCGTCATTGTTGTTTGGCGGGTCCAGGCTGGGGATTCGAACCCGCCGCCTTAGATGTACGTGGCTGGCGCCTTAGCCGGTTGAGCTATAGGCGCCGAGCCACAGAAGCCATTTTCAACAGCACCTCGGATTTCTGAGACGTCTACACAGAAGCTTGCATTTTTTAACCAGGTGAATTATACACACACAGATTATTTCATAGATACAACCTTATCTCCACCAACTCTTCACACAAGGCGTGGTTTCTCCCTGTGGTTTCAAAGGCCTTTTAATGGTCCCCATGAGCATGGCTGTCTCCACCGGACACCTGCACTTACCAACAGCTATTCCTGGTGGGCCACCAACCAGACCACCGACAAAGGCCACAGCTCCGGTGACCAGGGCGGCCCTCCCTGAGTGCTTGACGGCCGCCTGCATCTTCCTCCCCTCGGAGACGGAGCAAAGCAGCTTCATCATATCGCCTACCATGAGGGGCATCCTGCTGTGCCTTAAGGAGAAATTTCAGAGAGAGCTTTAATGGGTATAAGAGTATTTCCACCCAGCGTTACTCTTCCCAGAGTTCTGAGGAAGGGCCTCCACCTTCTGGGGAGGACGGCAGCTCTGCTGTGCACACGACACACAGCATCCAGTGAAAAGTGAAAAGTTCTTTGCCACAGAAAAAGCTGGGCAGCAGTTAGTTACTAAGCAAACAAGCAGCAGAGAGGAAGAAACGTCTCTCTGCCCTCTGATTAGCTTCTGAGTTGTGATGGGTTAAGGCACAACCCAGCCCCATGTCCTGCCAACTCATCACAAGGGAGGCAGGGCTGACCTCTCCCCCATCAGCGGCCTTTCAACTGGCTCTGACAATCCTCTGTACACAAAGCCTGGCAGAGACCAGAAAGTCATGGCCTCGTAGCCTTTTTTCTATGACAGCGCATCTGAGCTGATCCCACATCAGAGAAAGAGAAAAGACAGGACTCAGAGGCTATGCTGGCCATTTGCCGGCTGTGTGACCCAGAGCGTCAGACGCCTCGCCTCTCGGATGCAGAGGTGGCTTCTAGTAAGATGTGAGTGGAAGGGTGTGACGTGCTTGGCACGATCTGGGACACTGCAGGCCCGCAGCACACGATGGCTCTACGTGAATGTTCCGTGACTCAGCACACCAGGGCCTCCCTGCAGCAACTGCTCTCAAAAGCAACACATGGGACCTTAAAAGCAAGGCCGAGATGAAGCACTGGAGAATAAAATAAATCACACAGTTCCAGAGGCTGGGGAAACATGAATGGGCCTTTAGAACAATTGACCTTTAGAGCAATTCTCTGGGGTCAGGAAGCTGCTGCCCAGCTGGCTGGGAAATGGCAGACGAGGGCAGGGCAGGTGCTGAGGGCCCAGACACTGCCGGCCACCTGGAAGGGCTATGAAGGAAAATGGAGAGGGCAACAAGTCCGTGCTTCTCAGAGCTCAGCAGGAAACAAGGCTGGGCTGGCAGTTCATTTCTCTAGGCTTCCCTTTCCTTCCAGGCTGAAACAGTTGCTAAAAGGGGCTGCAGTTTACACCTTTATAACCACAACACTCTGGGAGGCTGAGGCCGGTAGATTGCTTGAGCTCAGGAGTTGGAGACCAGACTGAGCAAAAGCAAGACTCCGTCTCTAAAAATAGCTGAGAGTTGTGGCAGGCGCTTGTGGTCCCAGCTATGGAAGGCTGAAGCAGGAGGATCACTTGAGCCCAAGAGTTTGAGGTTGCTGTGAGCTGGGGGAGCTCTAGACTGAGCAACAGAGTGACACTGGCTAAAAACAAAAAAGAAACAGTTGCTGAAGGAGCCTGCCTGAGGAAGTTGTAGTTAGATCCTACGACTTAGAATCCTTTGGATGTGTGAGTTTTTTTGATCCAAGGATGACCAAGGACCTCAGTCTCTAATGCTAACTTTCTCCCAGTCCTTGGAGAGAATTTTGAGCCCTTGGAACAAGTCCCCCTCAGTCCACCACATTACTACAAAGCCAGGTTCTCAGAACTTCTCCTCAGTTCCAGAAGAGGGAGCGCTGGGCCTGTACTCCAGCCCCTGTAAATTACCCCTGTTCCTCCTGATTCATTGCAGACTGGTGATTCTCCAGAGGTGCAGCGATGGCTGAAGTTTCTCTTGGGCACAGCTGGTGAGGATGGGCATAATCCCACATTTCTTTTTTTTTTTTTTTTGAGACGGAGCCTCAAGCTATCCCCCTGGGTAGAGTGCCATGGCATCACGCTCACAGCAACCTCCAACTCCTGGGCTCAAGTGAGTCTCCTGCCTCAGCCTCCCAAGTAGCTGGGACTACAGGCGCCCGCCACAATGCCTGGCCAGTTTTTGGTTGCAGCCGTCATTGTTGTTTGGCAGGCCGGGCTGGGGATTCGAACCCGCCACCTTAGGTGTATGTGGCTGGCACCTTAGCCGGTTGAGCCACAGGCGCCGAGCCAATCCCACATTTCTAACAAGCTCCCAAGGTCTTCTGACCTCACTTTGAGCAACAGGTCCAAGAGGACATGACCCAGGGGTTTAATGTTTGATAAATAGTCTCAAATTCAGAAATTTTGAACAGGCCTCCGCCCACCCATGTGTCTTCCTGGCCCACAGGGGTAGGAGAAGGGAAGAAGGGCTGCCTTGCCAGGTTGTCCCAGGGACTTGAGAACCCAGGTCTGCTCACCCCTGCTCTGGATGCCTGATGTCTTGTATCTGCCGAACACCTCCCGGCTTCTAGGCCCTGCCCCAGCTCCTCCGCTTCCAGACAGCCTGAATGCCTCCTTCTCCTCCACGAAAGAGAGCCCCCTCCACTACTCCAGTGGACAAGATTTGTCTACACACAAATGTCATGACGATTAAATGGCACTATTACAGTAAAGGGACTGAAAAGGGTAGAAGCTGCCCAGAACCAGGAGGTAGAGGGTGCAGCCCGATTCCCCCAGTAGCCACAGTCCTGAAAAGCTACACTCACAAAGTGAGTTCTACTCCAAATACATATTAAGATAACCACAGTAAACTCTTTCAAAAAGCTAGAATCCTACTGTAAAATATCAATCACCTTTCTGCCTAGCTCTGGTTTATACCCAGCTTTGCCTCTGTCCACTCTACTGGAAAAGATGTGCTGTCTGGGTCTTAGGAAGACCCCTTTGGAGGCTACAGGGGACCGGCCATTCCCAGAGGGTGAGGACCCTGAGCCCAGCCATGCTTGCTTGGTCTGCAAAGCTGGCTTCCACTCCTAAAATGGGATCTCTGCAAAATTATGGCTCTCTACTCTCAAAACCGTATTTGCATAGCAAGAAAACACATGTGAAAAAGGCAGATAAATACCCATATCACCTGTATTGTCTATAAAAAAAAAAAAAAAAACACCACCAAAAACGCACTGCTTCTGACCTGCTCCAAATGACTTTAAGTCAAAATCCACAAGGGCTAATGAGGTGTCCTTGCACAAATGCTACTTCCAACCACCACCTGGCCACCACCACGGAGGCATCCAAGTCCAGGGCTCTGCAGATGAGGGCAGCAGGTATGATGGCATGTGGAGGGCAGGAGGAGGAAGTGGCCCAACTCCAGCTATTAAACCAACTATTAAAACTGGGTTTTAATAGTTCACAGTTGGCTCGGTGCCTGTGGCTCAACTGGCTAAGGTGCCAGCCACACACACCTAAGGTGGCTGGTTCAAATCCAGCCTGGGCCCACCAAAACAACAATGACGGCTGCAACCAAAAAATAGCCGGGTGTTGTGGCAGGCACCTGTGGTCCCAGCTACTTGGGAGGCGGAGGCAGGAGACTCGCTTGAGCCCAGCAGTTGGAGGTTGCTATGAGCTGTGATGCCACAGCACTCTACCCAGGAGGACAGCTTGAGGCTCTGTCTCAAAAAAAAAAAAAAAAAGTAGTTCACAGTCCAGGCAGAGGCAGCGTTGTGGCTGCCTGGATCCAAGGGAAAGCTGGTTTAATTTCTTTGTAAGAATCATTTCAAAAGTCAGTGCATTAGTTCCTTCCTCTTGTGCAAGGGAGGTTAGTAACCCCATCTCCTGAGCCCTTGCTACAAAGCTCAGCTTCCTGAATTCTCCAGGCTTGCCAGATTGAGAGGGAAGCCCACCCTGCTTCTCTTTCCCCACCCTTTTCCCACCCCAAGGCTGCCTTTGTCTGTGAAAGAGAAGTGGGTGAGGAGGGAAGATGAGGACAGATCTCAGAGGGGTGGGAGTGTGGCTCCCCCTCTCCCCTGCACCAAATCACACCTATTTCCATCTCAGACTTGTCCACAAAACAGGCCCTGATCATGGGCAGCCCATCTGCCAGCCACACGAAGGCCAATGCCAACTTGAAGCCGTGGTTTCGTGCAAGTACCCAGGCTGGTCCCAAATGTACAGAGAGACGGAGTCAGCCCACCCCTCTGACTGCAGCCTAGCTTTCTGAGTTCCGACCAGATTGTGAGATGAGAGAGAAGAACTCTTTCGAGCTCACACAGACCTTCACACACCCTGTTCTTTTTTTTTTTTTTTTGAGACAGAGCCTCAAGCTATCCCCCTGGGTAGAGTGCCGTGGCATTACAGCTCACAGCAACCTCCAACTCCTGGGCTCAAGCGAGTCTCCTGCCTCCGCCTCCCAAGTAGCTGGGACCACAGGCGCCCGCCACAACGCCCGACTATTTTTTGGTTGCAGCTGTCATTGTTGTTTGGCGGGTCTGGGCTGGGGATTCGAACCCGCCCCTTTAGGTGACATGGCTGGCGCCTTAGCTGGTTGAGCTATAGGCGTCGAGCCCACACACCCTGTTCTTAAAAAAAAAAAGAAAAGAAAAGAAAATAGAAAACAAATTTTAGAAAATAAAACCTCTTAAGAATCAGAATGATCTCCATCACCCAGAATTGTTGCAGTTTCCACTCCCCTGGTGGAATTTGCAGAACTCCACTGCAGCTCTGGCTCTTGTAAACCTGGTCTTCCCCTCTCCAGGCCCCCAGTGCACAGGCCACAGGGAATGTCACCAGCACACATTTTTGGATTAGCCCAGGGAGATTTCTTTTTAAAACAAATTAGTTGCCAATATTTAAAACAGATTTCACACGTGCCTCAGATTCCTGATTTCTCTTGAAAAATCACACCAGGCCACATTGGCCTCGCTGTAGCAATGGGGGCCTGGGCTGAGTACGGGCTGACAACCCCACACTTGCAGGGTCGACGAGGGCCTCTCTGCACAGCCCCTGCTGGTTGGTGCAAATTTACCTGCCTAGTTGGCCCCATAGCAGGTTCCTGATAACCTCTCAAGGCATCTTTGTTTCTTTTCCTTTCTTTCTCTTCCTCCCTCTCTCTCTTTCTCCTTACAGCGCAGTTAGGCCGCATTTGCCAGGCTGAAGCCCTGGCTTACCGCTGGCACAATCACGGCGCACTACAGCCTCACACTCTGGGCTCAAAGGACTCTCCGCCTTGCCCAGGGAGCGGCTGGACTGCAGACACCTGTGATTTGTGAAGGCTGACCAAGCTACCTGCCCCAGCAAAACGCACCTCGCCTCCGGGACCACTGGCATCTCTAACTAGCGCCTAGATCCTCTTCCCAACCCGCGAGGCCTGGGCGCGGCCTGCGCGCGTCCCCCGCCCGCACCCGGCCGCGCAAAGGGGGCGGGCAGCCGGGCCTAGTCCAGCCGGGCGCGCCCTCGAGGGGGGAAACGAGCACCTAACACTAACACCGTCCCCGTCCCCCGGCGCCGCGCGGGTCGGGGTCCGGGCAGGGCGGCGCCCCCTAAGTTGCTCCCCGGCGCGGGGCACTGCACTCGGGCCCCACCCCGCTCCCGCCCCCCGCGCACCTTTACCTGCGCGACAGGCCGGCCGCGTGCTCCCCTGAGGTCAAGGGTCGACTCTGCGCCCGGGGGGCCCGAGGGCCCCCGCCCGCCCGCCTTCCGGTCCACGGGGCCTTCCGGTTGCCCGGCGCCGCGTCCCGCGGATTCAATCCGGGACCAGGCCTTTCGCGGGGTGCGGAAGGGACCCCGAGGCACTTCCGGCCGCCCCTCCCCTCCCCTCCCCGGGCCCGGTTTTCCGCGGCGACCGACGCTGGGCCGGGGCTGGGAGCAGGTGGCCCAACCCGGACGGGGCGCCGGGGAAGAGGCCGCACGGCTGCTTCGTGTCCTTTGCCGGCTGCCCGTGCACCTCCCCCAGGTATGTCCCCCTGGGTGACCTTCTCTCCCTGTGGCCGCAGCCGGGAGAGCGCGCGGGGGCGTCTGGAGGTCAGAGGTGAGTGTGCGGGTCAGTCACTCACCCGCGGGCCACGGCGCGGGAGCCCCCGGCTCTGGGTTTTGGAGAAGGAGAAGCTCCTAGCGGTCCGAGGCTGGGGCCAGTCGCACCTGAAGGCTGAAGCTGACGCCGAAATCTTCTTGGAACGCTGCAAAGGGCAGGAGGGGCCGGGGTCACAGGAGGGCCGAGGAATAATAGTACTTTACACAAGCCCCACCCCCATTCCCGAGATACTCATTGTCTGCCCCCCGATCTGAAGGAGGCGTCTGGGGGCTTTCTGTGGACGGTTCCTCTTCCTCCTGACAGACGCTCTGTAAAGCAGGCAGGGCCGCCATTGTCCTGTGCTGGTCTGCCCCAGGCCACCCAGTCGGGAAGTGTCCGGACTGCAGCCTGACGCCAAGGCCCCAAAGCCTTCGCGCTGACCTTGCAGGTGACCAGAGTTCCGCCTGCCTTTCCAGGCGCTGTGGGCGCCCAAGTCACTCTGTCACTTCTGCTCCCCACTGTTACCCTTACGGGAAAAGCTCAGAACTGAGCCCTTAAACCTTTCCGATCCCCTGTCGGGTCCTGTCCCACATAATGGGGTTTTTGTTCATAAACAAAAACTTAAAAAAAAAAAAAACCACTTTAACTACTTTATGTAATGGATAATAAAATTATCAGGTGAGTTCATATTTAGTTTTCTCTTTTAAAACTGTAGGATATTTACAAGTAATCCACAACCTCTTTCCCACCCCCAAATAAATAAGAACTGGAGTATGCGGGTGGCAGAAAAATTGGATTGGAAAAGGTTAATACCAGGCTTGCCCTGGCTGGAGTGGGCTAACTCCATCCGTTCATGGTTGAGAGCTGCTGCTGGACTTGGGGTGACTTCCAAGAGTGAGGGTTCACGAAAGCTGAGCTGGCCGGCCTGGCCAGGCCTGCGCGCGCGCTCCCCCATCTCTGCGGGCAGCTCCCTCTGGCGGCACCTGTGGGAAGTGGCCGGCGGACGCCCTCCCCAGAGATGGGAGCACGGAAAACGCTAGAAGGAAAAGGAGCTTGAGATGTACCATTGCATCACGCACATTAGGTGAGTCAAAACTATTAAGAAAAAAGACTATAATTGACTTACCACAACAAATAAGTAAGCGAGGTGATGGATGTGTTAATCAGTTCAGTGTAAGCATTTCACGTGGTTTATCAAATCACCACACTGAAACCCATAAATGTATCAATGTACACAATTATGATTTAATAATAAAAAAATAAGTATTAGGGCGGCGCCTGTGGCTCAAGGAGTAGGGCGCCGGCCCCATATGCGGGGGGTGGCATGTTCAAAGCCGGCCCCAGCCAAATACTGCAAAAAATAAATAATATTTTAAAAAAGAAGCTTGAAAGTGGAGGCCCACTAGAGAAGGTGAGCTGTAAGAACTTAACACTAATGGAATACTATTCAGCCATTTAAAAAACTGGAGACTTTACAGCCTTGGTATTAACCTAGATGGAAGTGGAACACATTATTCTTAGTAAAGCATCACAAGCATGGAGAAGCATGAATCCTATGTACTCAATTTTGATACCAGGACAATTACTGACATAGTGGGGGTGGGGGAGAGCAGAGAGAGGAAAGGGGGGTGGGGTGGGGTCTTGGTGTGTAACACACCTTTAGGGGCAAGACACAATTGTAAGAGGGACTTCACCTAACAAATGCAATCAGTGTAAACTAGTTTCTTGTACCCTCCATAAATCCCCAACAATAAAAATAAAAGTTCATGCCAATATTCAAGCCATCGGCATCCTGGGCCCCGCATTCTGATGTGAATGAAATCACAAAATGATGGTGCTCTGGAGCTCAGAGGTGGAGCACGGTGGGGGTGGGGGCACATTTTCCTACTGGCAGCCGGGCCTCCTGCAGAATGGGTGCTGTGAACTAGGAACAGAGCTATGGTCAACGTGCACTGGCCTGACATGTGGCCAGCACTTTCACCATGCTTATGGTGACCTTGGAGAAGTCACCCAATGTCTCTCTGCCACAATATCCTCATCTGGGAAATGGCAATAATGATAGTGCCCATCCCATATGGTTGTTCTGAAGATAAAGGAAGTAAGTGTAGATATCTAGATTATTCTTGTTTACATTGTAGGATATGCAAATGAACAGCTTCTCCAAAGTCCCAAACGGGAGCATCAGGTGCCCAGAGTAACACGAAATCCAATTCTGCCCCAGCCCCGAGAAAGCCCGTTTCCTGACCGGCCTGAGTGTCCCTGGGGTGGTAGGCTGTGTTGCTGGGGCCAGCCAGAGCCACAATGCAGAGGGAGCCCCTGAAGCCAGCCTTCTACCTTCCCTCCAACTCTTTCCACAGGCTGAGTGCACCGGCTTCTAACAGGTGGCACTTCTAGGATAAAGCTACTTGCCCAGACTCAGGGCTGTGATGCCATGTGCAGGCCACACCCACAGCCCCTGCAGGCTCTTAACACATACTGCCATGCAAGTAAACTTGGTGTCAGTTCAAAAGCCAAAATTTTACGGTCAGTTTCTTTTCTTCCTTTCCCAAACCTTTTTTGAGACAGAGTCTCATTGTGTCACCTGGGTGGAGTGCTGGGGCATCATCATAGCTCACAGCAACCTCAAATTCCTGAGCTCAAGTGATCTTCCTGCCTCAGCCTCCCGTGTAGCTGAGACTACAGGTACTCACCACAATGCCTGCTTAGTTTTTTCTATTTTTAGTAGAGATGGGGTCTCACTCTTGCTCAGGCTGGTCTCAAACTCCTGAGCTTAAGTAATCCACCTACCTCAGCCTCCCAGAGTGCTGGGATTACAGGTGTGAGCCTCTGCACCCAGCCCCCAAATGCCTTCTTCATGCCAATGTGATCAGTGTTCTGTTTATTTTAAATTACCTCAAAAAAAGTCACCACAATCTCTGTTTTTCTTTTTATTGTTTTTGTTTTTTAAGAGGTGGGGTCTCATTTTGTCACTCAGGCTAGAGCACAATCATGGCTCATTGTAGCCCTGAACTCTTGGGCTCTAGAGATCCTCCCACCTTATCCTTCCCAATGTGGTGGCCTTAAGAAATAAGGCCTTGGAAGGCCCTGCACAGTGACTAACAAATCCCAGGACTCTGGGAGGCTACGGCTGAGGAAGAGAGACTTCTGCCTCTACTAAAAATAGAAACACTAGCCAGACATGGTGGCAGGCATCTGTAGTCCCAGCTACTCAGGAGGCTGAGGCAGGAGGATCTCTTGAGCCCAAGAATTTGAGGTTGCTGTGAGCTGTGATGCCACACAGAGTGAGAGTCAGGCTAGGAAAAGAAAAATAAGGCCTTTGGGAAGTGATCAGTGACCTGGTAAAGAGGCCTGAGAAGGCTTTTCTGTCCTTTTTGCCATGTGAGGACCCAGTGACAAGGTGCCATCTATGATGTACAGATTCTCACCAGACGGGGAATCTGCTGGCACCTCAACCTTGGACTTCCCAGCCTCAGAACTGTTGTTGTTTAGGGATCAGATCAATTGTTGTTTGGGAATCCCCCAGTCTAAGGTGTTTTGTTATAGTGGCCCAGACAGACTGAGACACTCCCTCTGGAACTTGTAGGGACATTGCTTCCCTGGTGGGGACATCAATCCTCGGTGCCCCTCGGCTGGCAGCTGTGTCTCTGCCTCTGTTGCCACACGGAGCACTCTTGAGCTCCTCCCTCTGGGCCCAAATGTTCCTGTTCTTATTAAAGACACAAGTCATACTGCATAAAGGGCCCATCTGGTAACCTCACTTTAACCCCGTTACGTCTGCAAAGACCCTATTTCCAAGTAAGATCACACAGTGACCAAGTTAGGACTTCAACATTGCCTTTTTGTGTGATAGAGTTCAACCCTTAACACCAGGTGTCTTAATCTGTTTTCTGCTGCTATAACAGAATACCACAGACCGGGTAGTCTGTAAAAAAAAAAGAGAGATTTATTTAGTTTATGGTTCTGGAGGCTAGAAGGTCAAGGGACCACATCTGTTAAGAGCCTTCTTCCTGCGTTAAAACCTGGCAGAAGGCATCACAAAGAGAAAGAGTGTGAGAGGAAATGGGGGGCTGAACCCATCTTTTATCAGGTACCCACTCTCAAAATAACAGCATCAAACGATCCCCGAGGGCAAAGCCCTCATGACCTAATCACCTGTGAGATGACCCACCTCTTAGTACTACCACAATGGCAATTAAATTCCAACAGGAGTTTGGGAGGAGACATTCAAACCACAGCACTAGGCACTCAACAGATGCCAGCCGTGATTATGATCATCTGAGCAGGTGCTGGGTACATAGATGTCCACTCCATGGCACAGTAAAAATATCAGCCTCAGGCCATGCCTGTGTCAAGATTGCTGTGTGCAGGGGGACCATCCAGCCACCTGCCTTTGGTCTTGAGAGAGCTTAGTTCTGAAAGGGTTGTGGAAGGACAAGGCGGCTCTGGGACTGGTAATGATCTTGTCCTCGGCTTCATCACTGTTCTTTTAAATAATTAATTCAGCTTAGCTTCTTCCTTGGTGTTTACATCCTTCAAATATTTGTAGACGGTTATCATGTCCCTTCAGTCACCACTTAGCTCCACTCTACATATTTGCTGTGGTGTTGAGTGTGTGTTACCATCATTGTCGTTATTATTATTTCCTCCTGGCACACTCCCTCCGTCCCTCGGCCAGCCTTATCACTTGGTGAATTTCCTCCAGGTCCCCAAACTTCCAAATGCCAAGTTCAGCAGGACGAGACATTGAAAGTCAGTAGTGGTAACCAGGGATGACTGGCAGACCCTCCCGCTCATTATCCTCTCTAATTCTCATCAGTTTCCCCAAAGCCATAGCCGCCAAAAAAATAGACAAGCTAAGTAAAAAAGTGTGGTCACGGTGCAATCACAGCTTCCAGACCACCCCGTACCCCTCATTCCTGATCAGATAATCCTCAGTTTCCTTAGTTACAAGATGAGAATGAGAATCCCTGCTCTCGACAACCCGGGATTGAGGGGGGAAGAGCCAAGAAGTGCTTTGTAAACTAAAAAGCAGGCAGGGTGGTGGTACCGGCCATGCCTCCAACATACGATGATGGGTTTTACAAAACATTCCAGGGTTGACTGTTCTCAAAAGCTAGAAATTCTAAGTTAGAATTTGCAAATGAACTCGATAGTGCTGAGATTCACCCTAAAATCTGTCTATTGAATACAGAATATACAGAGATGCCCTACTTCCAATTCTACGAATAGATCTTAGTATTCCAAATAAAGTGCGGAACTCGGGTGTGGGGGGGCGTTGGAAGCACGTTACAGATGGTTCTGACAGGACTTCGGAAGGTTACCCTGCTATAAAAGATTTTTTTTTTAAATCCACCTTTCATTTCAGATCCCCCTGAAGGGCCCTTCTGTACTCAGAACACTTAT